TGTATTTCCTCCTGGGAGGCAAGAGACCTCTCTCTCTCTCTCTCTCAGCTCACTCCCTGGGAGACATTGCAGCCAAGAAGACACATGGAACTATGCTAGTGCCCTGAGCTGGAGAAGCCACATGGATCTACCCTGATGCCACCAGACCTGTGGAGCTGGAGAAGCCATGTAGTGACTCCTGCCAGCACTGAGATGCTTACAACACCACTGGATCCAAAGACTTTCTACCCACTGGCCTGTGATCATTCTGCAATTGGCATCATTGCATGCGTTTCATGAGTCTGAAGAGGACTTTATAGATTGGTGTCGGACATATGGACTAATATTGGACTTATGGGCTTGGACTGGACTGTGTTGGGATGCTTTCTTAATGTATAACTACCCTTTATATAAAACTCTCTCTTATACACTTATGTGTTTCTATGGATTTGTTTCTCTAGTCTACCCAGACAAACACAATTGAGAATAAATCACTGCTGCCTGTTTGGAGTTTTGAAGGACGCCAAGCCTGGCCACCTAAGCTAGACAGGACCAGGTTTAGATCCTGAAGAGCCATAACCAAGCAGCAAGACGGTGCAGTTTTCGGCAATGGAGTGTTGTTTTAGGGGCTATTGAATAAGTTCAAACTCTTCTCCCCCCTATGTACAACAGAAGCAAACATTGTCTGGTCCTGAGCCAGCCTCACAAAGTGTTACATTTGAGCCCATTGTAGCAGCCCGTGGGTCCATCCATTGTATTAACGGCCTTCTTATTTTGAGTCTTCCTCTTTTTCACTAGCTTTCTACTGCCTGAAGGATGATGTTCTTTTCTGGGGACTCATCTCTCCTATGACAATGAAGAAGACTTACAGAAATACAGGTGAAGCTTACAGGATGCCAGCCTTGCAGGCAGGGGCTCATATGTGATCTGTTTAATGGCTCAGATCTTGTGAGGACCTATGTAGTGTATCCAATCATACCATGATCCCATTTTTGAAAGACAATTGCTGATGTGTGCAATCCATATTTTCATAAAGAATCTTGCTTATTGTCTTTTTCAATCACATCAGATTACATAAACACATTAAAAAACATTTTGTTAAAACCAAAGAAATCTATCATATAAACCATTGTTTATTTATATTTTATATATTAACTGGGTGAAAACAAAACAACTTGGGCCTTTTCTGGATTATTTTGAATAGTATTGCGAGGCAAATAGAATAGAACTAGATGTTCCTGGCCAGGAAGCAAGGGCTATTGCCAGACACACAGAGGCCCATGAGAACCTGGACCCATTCATATTTCACACTTCCTATGTTCTCCAAAGGAGCTCTGATGTCATAATGTGTTACATGTTGAGTTGCTAACTGGAAAGTTGGCAGTTCAAAACCATCAGCAGCTTCAGGGGAAAAAGATGAGACATTCTATTCTCATAAAGATCTCCAATCTCAGAAACGGAAGGAGCAGTTCAACTTTGTCCTATAAGGTCATGTGTTAGAATTGACTCAGTGGCAGTGAATGTTGTTATTTCTGTATCAGAAGCCCTGTGCTCAAAAGGGAGGCAGGTAATTTCTAGGATCACTGTTCTTTAGGTCTTTCTTTATCTAGAGTTGATCACAAAAGCCATCACAGTAGAGAAGCCAGGATGAGCTTACACTGCAGGCTTCCTTTGAGAGTGGATTCTCCTCTCCATATAGTAGGATTCATGGACAAGAGAATTCACTGGGAAGAGTAAAAACACACTCCAACGTGGCTCAGATGACGTTGATTCTTCCTCCTATGAAAGCCCTTTCCTGTGTGTGGTCGGTGGATGATTGTATGTCAATTCGACACGCTGACAGGAATCAAACCTGTCAGTCAAGTGGTAGCTTGATGTCACTCCCTTGGGGGTGTGGCCTTGTGTCTAAGAGTGAGGGACTCTGAGAGATGCCTTTCTCTCTGCTACTTTGCCTTCCTCCTCTCTGGGACTTAACTGCCACGGTGCATCCGCCTCCAGGGGTGGCCTCATGTGGGCCTCCTGACCCTGTGATCCACACGACTGTGTACCACTACTGACCTATGATCTACCTGCTCCCTGGTTCACCGTTCTGCATCACAGCTTCGGAGTGCATGAGTCTAAAGAAGGGCTTATGGATGAGCAGAGGATCTATGGACTTGTGTTAGAGCGGGCTGGGATGCCTACTTGATATATAATTACTTGTTATATCAAAGTCTTTCTTATACATAGATGAATGTCACTGGATTTGTTTCTCTAGACACCTGGCCTAGCCCGCGATGTTATGGTCAAGGTAGCTATCAGCCTACAGGTTGCTGATCATCTTTTCCACCCTGGCAAGCTTCTGATACTGAGCAGTTTTGATGGGATTCTGGAGTGGTTTACCTCGGTTCTTCTCAATGCTGAAAGAATGCACATGGCAGAAGCAGTTTTGTATATCGAAGTAACTTTTGTGAAGAAAAGGGAAGTTTAAGTTATTACAGTTTCAAAAGGTACATGCTATCTCTAGAAAGTGTGCAGACATGTGGGGACCACAGAAGAGTTTGCAACTAAAGATGGCCATTTCAGGGGAGCCGCAAGCCAGGTGAAAAGAATACCGGAGCAGGCACACAAAACCAAGCATATGGAACCAAGAGCAGCAAGTCTCAAGAGAGCCAAGAGAATGCTGGCCCCAGAGGGCCCGCAGGTGATTATGCAAGACATACTCAGGAGAGATTCCCTCCATTGCAGAGCACACCTGAGAGAGTGACTTGCCCTCAGTCTGCTATTTATTCCCTCTTATCCCCACTAGTTGGGGAGGCGTGGTGGAGGGGATTGACTGATTGCATTGGCTGAGTTCAGCTATACCTGTGTGGTGTAATATTGCTGGTGCCAAGGTGTTTTCCATCGGTGTCTGGTGGGTGCAACCTGTTTATTGTGGTCCCGACAGCAGCCCGTTTCCATTAGCACAGGCATTCAGGAAAGACAACACCTCTTTATCCCTAATCCAGCTTTCTTTCAGTTTAATGTGGATTTTAAATTCTATGTGGCCTTCTTTACCCCCACTTGATCCTTTAAAAGAATAGGCAGTCTTTTCCTGAGTTTAGAAGTGCTAATAAGATGCTGGTCAATATAACTAATTAGTAAGCAAGTAAACTTAATTGCATTTTAATTCGTTAATCAAAGAGAGCGTTCACTTGGTCCATGTATGTTGCTCAGTATGTATGTGAACACATGCGTGGCTATGGCATAGGTATATGTTCACAATCAAATATTTCCAAAAACATATCAAAATATACTCAAGGTATGAATAATACCATCCACTTTATTAAAATTATTGTCAGATAACTGTATGTGATGGATCATAAGGATTCTATCAAGCAATGTGCAGTGAGATCTCGCTAGAGGCACAAGCCATGAATCATAGCTTGACATCTGCAACCCTGATGCAGCTAAATTAAGGCCTTTGCAAATGGGACCCAGTATTTGTATGCACGGTCTTATTCTTCTGTACTTTCCTTTGTCACAATCGACTTTTTCTTCACCTATTTTTGCCCATCTTGTACATCTGGTCCATATTTTGCTCAGAAGTAGCTGACTGTGTGCAGAAATGTGACTCAAACACTTTTATCTCACTCCCTTTTGCCTCCAGTTTTATCTGAAATCTGGTAAATGGAATGGATCCTGGTTCTCAGGCTGCTTTCCAATATGGGGTTGGGGGGGGGATTTGTGTTTAGGAAGGTTAGCCAATGTCCCGGACCCTCCCTGACCTATTAAAAATTCACCCATCCTAATTTCTGTTCACTCAGGGACCCCGAGTCTCAGGAATCCGTGCTTCTGTAGCTGTGAGACTTTTGTAATAGAAGTTTTCTCAAGAGTGTGTGTCCAATAAAAGAAGTGGACCAAATGGTGAGAAGTTTTCATGTCAGTTCCCATTTATATATTCATGGGTGCACATAAATAGCTATGCATTTTGTTGAGCACCTCCCAGATACTCCTTCTTCTCATCTAACAATTTACATTCCTATTTAAAGAGCTCTGATGGCGTTGTGTGCGTCACGTTGAGCTGCTTACCATGAGGTCAGAGGTTCAAATACATCCTCATCTCCTGGGGAGAAATATATGGCTTTCTGCTCCTGTAAAGATTAAGGATCTCAGAACCCAAAGGGGGAGGGGGTTCTCCCCTGTGTAACAGTGGTTGCTATGAATCAGAATCGCCTAGGAGGCAGTGAGCTTTCCTGAGATTTAAAGAATACACAGCAACAATAAAGAAGAGGTTCTATTTTTCTTTCAGAAATAAACAAAAATACAACACCAAATATTCAATAGTGGTGGCTAGCGCTCACGTTGGATTCTGTATCACACCCAGCACAATTCCCGAGGAAGTGCCCTATGTGTGTGAAGCATGCCATGATTTTTAGCCAGACAAAGGTGGGCCTGTGATCTGGAGTGACGTAATGGCTGTTTGAGGCCTGAGGTGTCTCTGGACATGCTTGCTTTGATTCTCTTGTCTTTGCTGCCAATAATGCTGTTTGAAGATTGGATTTTCACAGCAACTTCCAATATTTATCAGAGCTACTCTAAATGAATCATGCTGATAGAGTCATAATTCATTCTAAGTACCACATTACCTGCAGTTAACCCAGCAAGAAAATATATAGTGGAGTTCCTATGGAAATATAAGTATTGTATGAAAGCAATGATACTGCCTTGCACAAAGAAACTAATTGATAGCAGTAATATTTTAGAATTACTGCTATGGGGGGGGGTGTCACAAGATATTTTCATCACAGTTTTGGCATTTGATGGCCTTTGATATACAAACTGAAAAATAGTTGTTGTTTGTCAGCCTATGGACTATACAGGTTATTTATTTCTTTACTGGCATACTTGCTAATTTAAGAAAATCAACAAAAAGGTTTAAACACTAGGGATGTTGCAGGAACGCTCTCTAGATGATAGATAGATAGATAGATAGATAGATAGATAGATAGATAGATAGATAGATAGATGAGAGAGAGAGAGAGAGAGAGATATAGTATTAACAGGGGATAGTGTGAATGCAGTCCCTAGCTATCACGAATTTTGCAGTTGGGTTTCCTACAGTGTGGGAATGGCTGGGGTTGGCAGATCTGTAGTGCAATGGGCAGACCTCACCTGGGACAGCCACCTTCATGATCATGGTGCCTCACCTGCCAGGGAAGTGTGGGAGCAATGCCTGTGAAGCAAAGGTATAATACATCAGGGGAAGCAGGTTGTTATTTTAAGTTACGAAGAAAAGGATGTGATTAGCCCAGGGATGTGATGAATTGATTCCAGAAACAAACTCAAAGAGCTTAATACATGTGTGACGGGAAAGACTGGGCACCCAACATTGCAATCACAATGACCTCGAGGAGCAAGCTCTGGTTGGCAAGGGGGCTCAGTGGCTTTCATGTGCTAAGTGGAACACTAGTCAACATCACTATCAGGTGTGTTCAGAAAAGAGTCCACTAATCTAGAGGCTAAAAAGGGATATGCAAACAGCTAGAAACTGTCCATAAAAATGCAAAACGAGGACAACAACAACACTCCCTGCCACCAAGTCAATTCGGACTCATAATGACTCTCAAGAGTAGAACAGGATGGCGTGTGAGTGTCTGAGATGGGAACGCTTCAAGGAAGTAGCCAGCCTCACTTTTCTCCCTTGAAGTAGCTGGTGGTTTTGAACTGCTGCCCTCCTGTTAGCAGCCCAACTTTTAACCCTCGGCACTACCAGCGTTCCAGTAACCATCAAAATACCATCCAGAAGAGTGGGCAGCTAGACACATAAGATGTACAGTTGGTAGCAGGTGAGATCCTTTTGTGAAGTAAATTAGCAGGCGATCTTAGCTGACAGCCATGAAGGCTTCAAACAGCATAATTTACTCTTCTTCCTCTCACTCTAATCATAATGTTATTTCCCATAATGCTTAACCTTGCTATAAACTGATGAGACAATGCCTTCTTCACTTATTCATACACATGTATATTTTAAAAGCAAATACTTGTTGTCAAACCTTCCTGGATCCTTCTCTGGGCAGGCCTTCCAAGCCTTCTCTCCTGGACTCTTTACTTGCATCCAACAGAACAACTCACATCAAATAAGGGAGACCAAAGAAGAGGCCAAGCATTTGAAATGTGGTGCTGGGGAAGAACATGGAAAATAACCATGGACTGCTATCAACCCATCTGTCTTGGAAGAAGTACAGCCAGAGAGGTAACACTCCATCTAACATGCTTTGGACATGTCGTCAGAAGAGACCAGTCCCTGTAGAAAGACATTCTGATTGGCAAAGGAGCAAAGACCCTCAAGGAGATGGTTGATACAGTGGCCCCAACAATGGGCTCAGGCAGAGGAACCATTGTGAGGATGGTGCAAGCCCCCCCGCTGTGTTTTCTTCTGTGGTGCATAAGGCTACTGGGGGTTGGAACCAACTCGAAGGGCCCTGGCAAGAACAACAGACCCATTTGCAGCATGGGTGGGGTTGAATTTGCCAAGGAGACACACTGAAGTGGGATTTGGGAGTCAGTCCCAAGGGAAGTCATTATTCTGCAGCAACAATCACTGGGAGCCTCCAGGGAGCACAGCTGGAGGGAGTCTTTTATTGAGTTTTATGTATTTACTTTTTTAGAGTGCAAACCCAGTCCCCCACTACCACAAATTATGCAGTAGAGTTTCCCTCACTGGGGGAAATCTCAGGGGTGAAATGGATAAGCCTCGCCCTGGGAAAATCACCTTCTTGATCATGGTATCTTCCCTACCAGGTAAGTATGGAGGGAGCTCTATAGTAGAGAACCCTTCAGATGAACAGGTAAGGACTAGTCTTTGGTGTGGCAGGCGACTGGGAATGACAGTGGTTTCCGTAGACCTTGACGTCCACAGTGGGAGCCTCTGACTTGTGCTTTCAAACAATGTTTCATTATCTGTTTAAAAGCAACATTGCTTCTCTCTGCTCATTCCTACCTCAGTATGGTCTGATTCTTTTGTCACTTAGACATGTCATTTTCATGACAAACACAGAAGTCATAGTAGAGGAGGCGAAAACTGCGCAGGAGCAGTCTGACTTTCCCACCCCACCCCCACCCGCAATATATTTGCTTTGAACAATGATCAGATAAATAAAGGAATGTGTGGGAGCCCTGGTAGCATAATGGGTTAGGTGTTGGGCTGCTATCCAAAAGGTTGTGAGATTGAAACCACCACCAGCCATTCCTGGGAAGAATGGTGAACCTGTAAGTTACCATAGGATGGACAGGATCAGAAACCCACGGGGCCATTCTACTCTGTCCTATAGGCTCACTATGAGTTGGAATTCACTCAATGGCTGTGAATTTTTTTGGTTGGTCAAAGAGAAGAAAAATTTTTTTAAATGATGATTTTCTCTAGTTCACAAATACCAGTCGATTAAAAACACATTCTTCATGGTTAAAGGGGCAAGATAAATAAGGATGTAATGCATTCTAAGCCATGTTTATTTTACCTTGACCTGTGTACTTCATGTTCTACAAGGAGTAAGGAGATTCCCTGGTGTAAGTTATTTATGGAATTCCCTTTCCCAAGTTGCAGAGAAGTGCCTAGTGATCCCAGGAAAGAGTTTAATGCCATCTCATAAGAGACCAGCATCCTCGATCAGGCATAAACTTGTTTTTGATTGCTTCACAGTTTTCAGCTGCCAGGGGTTTTCTTTTCCCATCAGATTTCAGGATCTGCCCAGCCAGCTTGGAAGTGTTCTCGGTGCTTTGTGTGGGGAGACCTTTGAAAACTTTATTCTCTTTTTGAAAGGGAGCTAGCAACACAATCAAGCATCATTACTATTCCAGACTCATTCCCCACATGTTAGAGAGTACGACGGATGGGATTAATGAGGATCATTTAGGAAAAGAGGTTGATGTAGCCCCGATCTGAGGAAGATACGGTAATCAGAGTGTACAGATGGGTTGAAATTCTACAGGAGAAAACGCCCCATTAGCAGTTCAGCAATTAAAGCTATTTCTTTGAAGAGCAGATGTGCCGGTTTTTTGCTTTTTGGGGGGTTGTTGTTGTTTTTTAATTGTATGTGGTGAATGCTCGAAAGGAATTGTAAGGAAAAACAATCAGGGTTAGTTACCAGTTGATCAGTCAGTAAGGCAACACAACGATGAATTGTGGGGAATTAGATGTTGGATATTTCAGTTTGCTTGAAGAAAGGCTTACCCTCCCTTCTCCTCTTGCCTCGCACTTGGCTTTCTCCCTCAGATTAAAATTAAGCTCTGCTATTGAGGGCTCTTTCCTGAGCTTCAAAAGACTAACCGAGACACGGGCTTGCTGAAGTGGTTGACCAAATGATTATGAAGGGAGCACAAGTCAGGAAAAGGCTTGCTCATAAAAAAATCAAAGCAGACAAAGGAAAAACCCAATGAAACATAAAACAACGTTCTCCAACGTTTTGTTTCCAAATTCTGTGAAAATGTCAAGGTGAGATTCGTTGGGTTGGATTTAGGTTCGTCGTCTCTTCAAAATGTATTGTCTTGGGGTGAATAGGACATTGGCAGGCTGTCTGTTATATGTCTCCTACAAACCAATCATCAGCCACCCATGTTGCAGACAACTCGGTAGGTGCCTTTATTATAACTTTTTGTCAGCTGGAAAAAGACGGCACCATTACGCAGTGGATCCAGTTGGCCTCTATTCCAATTTAAGGCTGTGCTTTGGATGGGGTTTAAACGGTCTTGTTTGTCATTTCCAAAGTTGATCAGTCTGAGAAGGAAAGCTGTTATTGATGCCCAATTAAACGTACTGCATTTTACTTCGCATTATTCATTTCCATTATTTACACCATGCTGCATTTCTTGGCAGCGAGAAGAGCCTTTCAAAACAGACATTCCCGGTGGTGTGTGTATCATTTAAAACAAATGAAGAGTTTGATTTCATTCCGGCTCATCTGATTTCTGTCCGGTTTTGCGCCATCTGACCTCTGTGGATTTGCATAGCAATTAGTAAATCAGAGGGAAGGAAAACAAAAGACACACACAGAACAACTAAGAGAGAAGGAAAGTTCTCAAGCAAATTTCAAGGCAGGAAATGATCTAGAAATCGGTGCATTGAGTGCAAACCATTGCGGTCAGTTCCCTTCATTGACGGCACATCATGCTGCCTTCCTGCCTCACGGCCTTATCAACGGTAATGAGTCCCTGGGACAGTCTCTAAATTGCACCAACCAATTTCAAGATGCTAGTGATGTCTCAGCAGAAATACTTTGAGCCTTCTGTACGAGCTGCATTTAGTCAGGCATCTTTGCTATCTGTGGTGCCTCAGAATGTTATTCTTGACTCATTTGGTGCCCCACTTGGACTTGTGCCAGAGGCAAGTTCTCCCTGTTTCCCACTTGCTGTGCCTCTGGATGTCTCCCATGCCTGAAGAAGGACCTTGGTCCATCCAGAGTCAATGGAAACTTTTCAAAGGCACTGCCTTTTAGATTGCTCTCAGGACTCATGCCATACCTGCCATACCTTAGACAGACATCTTGCCTGTACCATTAATTAACCACGTTTATCTTGAATTCAGGAAATCCCTGGGAGGAAGGTGGAAGGCGGAGGCCAATCGTCAGCCAACCCAGATCTGAAGTCAGGCTGAAGGTCAAGCCTTTTGCGTTCCTCAGAACTCGCTGCCACAATTTCATTTTGGTGGAAACGTTTGGTGATAGATACATCTCATGTACAGACATCTCAAATATCTTTTGTGTTCAGCGCCACTTATTCTAATTAATGTGCAGATGCTTCAATGCTGGACTTGGTTGGGTTTTTTGAAGCAGACTATCCGTTTTGATGACCGTATCATGATTTGTACTAAAGTCTTGAATATTCTCACGTTGTTGGAGTGTCTTTGAATTTTCGACTTCGATGCAGGAAAATTCCCCACCTTTGAAGGCACACGTTTCCCTGGAGGTCACCTCAAAGCAGCTTTGGTTCACACGTTAATCAGTGTGTGTGCTTTTTCTTCTTTGTGTAAATATCATCTCTCAAATTGTTACAGAAACTGCCTTGCTCATTGTTTTGTTTGCCCACAAGAATATGTCTATATTCTTAATGGAAGGGATTAGGAGGTACTTCTGCAAGATTCAGGAATTCTCTCAGAGAATAAAAACCAAACCAAACCAAGAATAAGTCATTGCAAACAGTGATGCTCATACACGGGCAGGTCGATAAC